TTTAAAATATCCAAAAAAAAATTCAAAAAATATCTAAATATCTTTACATAAAAAAATAAGGCAACTAAAAATCATAAAATTTGGCTTACTATCATAAAATTCATTTTTTTTGTTTAAACTTGGAAAATTATAATACTAGTTTTAATTTTTTTTTTCTAAAATCATACTCTATCTTATGGTGCCTAGTTAAAATTGTTTGAATCTTGATGGACTCATTTTAGTGTACTTTTGCTAGTAGAAGCTCTTGTTATCTATTATAATTAGATTATGTTGATCATCCGGACTACGCAGAAGCACCATTGGATCATCGTTACGACTATAGTTGGCGATGGTCCCCTGCCCTAGATAAATTTTACAAATTATTTAATTTAATTAAGTTTCACTGGTCTAAAATTCTGTGAATTTTCTATGAATTTTGTGTTAGGTAAAACAAAGTTTCTATAAACTTTCTAAGAGCAAAAAAAATTTCTGATTTTTAATTGCATTATTTTTTCATGTAAAAATATTTAGATCTTTTCACTAGTCCGATTTACCTCTCTCTGACGTAGAGCCACGTCAGCAAAACCACCATCAAAACCAGTGAGGATGCAAAAATAAACAATTTTAAATGTTGAGGCCTTGTTTGGATACTCTCGTATTCACCTCAATTCATTTTTACCTCAATACATATGGATTGAGGTAGATACACGGGTATCAAATAAGGTCTAAACAGGAATGGAACGTTTGGATTCCTTACTAGAGCTCGCCTAGTCTAGACGAGCAAACTTCACGGCGTTTGGTTACTTTGCCCACCTGCCTCGTTACTTGTGCTTTCCAGTTTTTCCTTGCTTGCTCCAGCCAGCCAATCCGGCTCGCCTCCGCTGGCGACGCTGACCTTGCTCAGAAAGGCCAGGCGAGGAAACCCAACATGAAAACCAAACTCTCCAGAAGTAATAAGCGAGGTAATAAATCGAGCAAAAATTGAAGGGGGCCGAAAGGACTTGTTCCAACTTCCAAGTCAAGCCTGCCCAACTCAGCAACACAACAACCCTTTCAACCTTTCAGCATCTCCTGCAAAGCCTTCATCCTCCGTCGCCTAATCATTCCGGATTTCTCTCTGCTCTGCCTCCGCACGTCTCCCTTTCCTCGCTTCACTCCTCGCTCCTCAACGTCCTCTGCGATAAGGCCCACCACCAGCGCCGCGATGGCAACGCCACCGGGGCAGGGATTATGGTCGTGCTGCCCATGATCTGCAGCCCTCATCGTCAAATCGCCGACCATCCCATGGTTTGCAACTTTGCGCCAGGCGCGGGACTAGCGAGGGTCAACTGAGGAGGAGCAACCCCGTCACTGCCATTCCGCCAACAAGCGCAATACTAGTTCATGTTGCTGTAACCTGGAAGTGGAAAGCAACAGCAGGTGAGATCTAAGTCGCTTGGCTAATCGCAATTAGTCATACTTACTGTCCCACCTACCCGATTAGCTCGACTAGGTTTCTAGGATTCTAGTCGTCTGACTAGCAGTCGAGTTATGGAGATTAGTTGTCCGATCAGGGAGGGAGGACGGCGATTAGGCTGCACGTTGGGTTTGGCTGCCAGTTCATGGTATTGGGCTACCAATTTGTCCCATTTGTTTCCACTAATCTATTCACAATTGGCTTTTTGCTGGCTTGCTCTTGCTCTGCGCCCCTGTGTAATGCTCTGCTCTGCAATTAGTAACCTCATATGTGTGTTCAATTTGAGAGAGAAAAATGCCATTTTGACATGACCAAATCCTATTTCGTATTTCTTTTTGTTTTGGTTGATTTTATAGCGAGTTTGTAACCTTGTCAACATAGGACGCTGAGCTACCTCAGTTGATCGAGGGTGTGTCAGACCACCCAGGTTTAAGTCCTCGTCGATGCGAATTTGTGTCCGTATTTTCGTCTAGGATTTATTTTTAGTATAACCTTGTCAACATTCAAACTATTATGTTGAATGTATTACCACATAGATTCACATCGGGTTATCTTTACAAGGCTGTGAAGTTTCTAAAACTATGGCCAGCTGATTTATTCTTCTCGACCTGTGGGACGTGTTCAGCAGTTTGATACCAAAATTATGTTGAACTAATTCTTTGGATAATGCGAGGGGATTACAAGAAAGGGTTGTGGGAACATTTTCTTACCATCTATTTTTTAAACCGTTAGCTAAACTTATGATTCAATAAATCTGCTTTATTGCACACTTGACACTTGTGACTAGCAAGAACAATGGAATATGACATTAACTTGTCTGTAGTTGTTGTTGTTGAATGATTCTCAAATATGATAATTGTCTTTGGTTCTTTAATTTCAACAAAACAGGAATATGATTTTTTTTTATTTGCAGTATACTTGCTGTAGAGGTTCCTGACTCCTTGCGTCCGTGCCTCCGTTGGAGCAAGGGGCGGCCACCACCGGAAGCACGAACCAACTAGCACCTGTAGCGTGGTGATTGGCCTAGCTTTCCTGTTTATATACTTACTTAGAACTTGCTTCATATATTAAATTTGAGTTACCCATTTGATTAGGCAAACGATATCTTCACAACCTGCTAGATATGTATCACTCATGAAGTCATGATACTCACAGTTCAACCAACAAAAATAAAAGGAGAATTCAGACAAAATCTTGTGATTTGTGTTGTCAGTAATACTGCTGTCTTTGAACCAGTAAACTTACATTATATAATATGACGGGATATAAGGGTTGTGGGAACATTTTCTTACCATCTATTTTTCAAACCGCGAGCTAAATTTATGATTCAGGAAATGTTCTTTATTGCACACTTGTGACTAGCTCACTTACCATGTAGAGGGAATATTGAGGAGACCAAGAAGAAATGAATTTGATATTTACATGTCTATAGATGTTGCTCTTCTAGCATAGATGTGCTTCTTTAAAACTACTAAAACTTGTCACTTAGTCAGGAATAACTGTTCAATTCTAATTCAAAGACACAAACACAATGCTGCCATTGATATTGCTCACTGGATTCGAATGATTCTCAAATACAAGAATTGTCTTTTATTCTTATTCGCAATATTACTTGTTGCAGAGTTTACTGCATCCTTGCGTCACTGCCTCCGTGGGAGCAAGGGCCAAGGGGAGACCACCGATGGAAGCACACCGACTAGTTATAGCCAGGTGATTGGCGCACCCTTCCTGTTTATCTACTACTTAGAACTTGCTTCATATATTAAGTCTGAGTTACCCGATTTGATTAGGCAAAATATTTCTTTATAATCTGCTAGATAAGGACGGGAGCTATTCAAGAATACATTCCAAACCATGACTAACAGCCTGTAAAGATGTATCCCACATTACTCACAGTTCAGCTAATAGAAATGAAAGGAGAATTCAGACAAATTCTTGTGATTTTTATTCTCAACGGTATTTCTATCTTTGAACCAGTAAAAGTACATTATATTAAAAATAAAAAATGCACAAATAGGAGCATCATATCATACGTGATACTCAGATACATACAAGGAAATTAAAAACAGAGAGAATAGAATACCGGGGATAAGCAAATAAAGATCCATGGAATGCCTAGATCCAACGACGCCCCTGTGTAGTGGAGCCACCTTTTTTGGTCGCATTCTCAGAACATGGCAAGGTTCTTTCTGTGATTGGAATCTACTTTACAGCCTGTGGATTGGTAACTGAGTGGCGAACAAATGAGACGTAGGCGGTGATAACAGTGAGTAGTAGGAGCAGCATGGCGAGGCAGGCGGCATGGGGTGGAGATACAGCTCTCATCGCTATGACCATCATCAGATAGACCCCGAGAAGTACAGTGGAGAAGAAAATGAAGCCAGCTGCCGTGACTGGCCCTACCATGTAGTAGTAGTATCCCATGATCCCAGTGACCAGGCCTTCAAACTGTGAGCTAAATTGTGATTAAGGAAATCTTATTTGTTGCACACTTGTGACTTGCTCACTTAATACCATGTAGAAGGAAATATTGAGAGCAAGAACAAAGGAATATGACTTAACATGTCTGTAGTTGTTGTTGTTGCTCTTCTAGTCAGGAATAACTTTAGATTTCTAACTTAGATATGCTTTGCTGCTAGAGATATTGCTCACTGGATTTTTATGATTCTAAAGTAAAATATGAGAATTGTCTTTGTTTTTTCTTTTTTTTTTTCTCGAAGGGAAGGAGGACTTATATTTGTTGCAGAGGTTCCTGGAGCAACCGGCGACCACCGACTGAAGCAAGCATGAAGCGGCCAGCTATAGTGTCGACGTGTGGTAATTGGCCTAGCCTTCCTGTTTATGTACTACTTGGAACTTGCTATATGTATTAAGTCTGTTACCCAGTTTGATTAGGCAAAAAATATCCTCACAACCTGCTAGATAGGGATTGGAGCTATTCCAGAACACATCTCAAGTCGGTGATTATAAGTTATAACCATGACTTTTTAACCTGTAAAGTCAACACCCTGACAATGCATCGCTCCAGGCACTCACATTCCCGAAAACAGTTCAGCTGACAGAAATGAATGGAGAATTCAGGCAAAATTCCTGTGGTTTGTATTCTCAATTATACTGCTGTACGTGAACCAATAAACTCACATTACATAAAAACAAATGAAAAAATAGGAGCACCGCGCAGGATACTCAGCTACATCAAAGCAAAAATAAAAACTTTTATTTAGATTACCAGGGATAATAAGCAAATAAAGATCCCTAGACTGGTTCATCCAACGGGCGAGAGAGGCGTCCGTTCTAGTATTGGAGTGGCTTTCTTCTCAGAGCATGCCGAGTGTCTTTCTGTGATTGCCTGATTGGAGTACTTTACAATCTGTGGATTACTTTACAGAAGTTGGATCCGTTGTGTGATGCATCCCAAATCATCCCAATGGCGTCTACGGAATGCCAAGCCAGATATGCGCTGCAGGACAGCAGGAGCGAGAAAGGGAAAATTAGGAAGAACATGTAGTCTAATACCTACCTGTACGTGCCTTCATTCTCCAATTGAGCTGCACTGCCGGGACGCTCACAACTGGAAGCGCGCTCTGACATTGTAGCTGAGCGCGTAGAGCTCTCCGGTGGCCGGGTCCAGCTTGGGGTGCGCGATCATGGCGGTGTCGAGCTGCCCGCCGAAGTCGTAGCGCCCGACGGTCTCGAGGTCGCCGTGGTAGGGGAGGTCGTCCTCGGACATGGCGAGGAGGCGGTTGTTATGGTACACCAGCCCGGCGTTGGCGACCCCGATCCCCTGGGGCGCATCGAAGAGGAGGAGGCGCGCCACGCCCGAGTGGACGTGGAGCTCGCCGATGGCCTTGGGGAAGACGGCCTTTCCGATGGCGCGCTCCTGTCTGAGCGGCGCCGTCTCCGTGAAGCGAATCGCGCACGACTCGGCGCTGCCCCCGCGGAGGCGCACGGCGTGCAGCATGCCGTCGCCGTCGAAGAGGTGGTGCCCCGCGCGCGGAGCGTGGAGCGGGTTGGCGTCGTTGCGGACGTACACGCCGTCGAGGCACGCCGGGACGCGGCCGGAGACCGGGAGCTCACCGGTGGGCGGGCGCGTAGTTGCCGGCGATCTGGACAGCCGGGTGGCAACGCCTGGCCTGCGCCGACACGGTGTCCGGAGCCGCCAGTGGAGCTGGAGCAGAGATGGAGGACGCCATTGCCGGGAACTAATCAGTCAGGAGCTGAGAATTGTGGCCCGGTCCGGTGACCGACGGAGCCAGCTTATAAGCCACAAAAATGATCAAGCGAACAGGGTGTACCATTGTGTTTTATTTTGTGTTTGAAACCTCATAAGTACAGCCCTAAGTTTATTATTGGAGAAGGGCATAATAATGATACACTCGCTGTATGTAAATCAGGCCTAAAATTGTGCTGTAACCTGGCTCATCCAGTGTGCATGTTGCATATATAGTTTCGTTGACCTCCTAGATTTGGTATTAATTAAATTATTAAAGTTTGGCAAAGTTCCGTTCTCAATAGGAGTAGAGCTTATTTGCTTATGCCTAAAATAAGGTATGTAGCTCTGTCGTTAAAGTTTCATTTTCGCCGACTTTTTCATAAGTGCATCTACTTTCTTTTGAAACATTTGCACGATACAGCATATAGCAATATATGACACGGGTACTTTCAATGTTAATATATATATAGTACGATTACAGCTGCATTCGTGCTGTTAAGTTTCCATCCCTGCCATTGATCTCTGATTGCCATGAGGTTTAACCATAGTATATCACGTCCAATAACTATTCAAGGTTAGGTTACAGCACTCACAGTTCGGCTGACAGAAATGAAAGGAGAATTCAGAAAAAAAAATCCATGTTATTTGTATTCTCACGATACACAGCTGTGTTTATTTGAACCAATAAATTAAAAGAAAAAAACTTGCACAAACTTGAGCATGCATCGGACAGCATACTCAGATACATACAAGTAAACTAAAAGAAAAACAGAATGCCAAGGAGGATCTACTACGTGACAACCTGTGGCTTGCTTCCCGAGTGCCCAACAAGTGGGATGCAGGCGGCGATAAACGTGAGCACGACGAGGACCATGACGACAATGGCCAGACACTTGGCGTGGGGTCGAGTCACAGCTCTCACCGTCACCACCATGGACAGATAGAGCCCGAGAGCTATCGCACAGAAGAGGAAGAAACCAACCGCGTTGGCAGGCCCTACCATGAAGCGTCCGACCTGTGGCTTGCTCCCCAAAGGATAAATGCATTCCTTTGGGGAAGATTGAAAATACAAATTTATGAGATAAAGATTCAGATACCATGCCCATTGATGGAGTGGGAGTAGTACGTATGTATGCTAGCTTCATGTATCAATTTGGGCCTTGTTTAATTTGAAGCTCTCTGGAATGGGGAGGATCCTTTTGTCCCTGAAATTGATAAAGTGGGACAAAAGGATCGTACCCATGTATTTTCAATCTTCCCCAAAGGAATGCATTTCTCATTTTGTATTGCAATGGGGAGGATCCTTTTGTCCCACTTGTTTAGCCAGCACAATATAAATAGCCACCCAACCCATCCATCGATCTGCAGCCAACTCACAAACTAACTACCAGAAGATCTCTTAAGACTTCGATTTTCTTGACCCAAGCAACAACGTCGTCAGGGGCGTCATCGAGCGCGAGACCCGCGCACTGGCGGCGTCCATGACCATGGAGGAGATCTTCCGGGCCACCACCAGCTCGTCCATCAACCACCAGGCCGTCCTCGAGTTCGAGAACGTGCAACTGGAGCTCAAGCACTTCGACCGCCTCATCGTCTACGACGCCTGCGTCTACGTGAAGCCGCAGTCCGTGGACGTGTCGGGGAACGAGGACTTCTCCTACGTGGTGGCGGCGGAGGACGACGGCGAAGGGCACACGGGGAAGGTGCTGTTGACTGTTGACCTGTTGTTCTGTTATATGAGCATTTTTTTCTTTTTTTGAGAGGTGTTATATGAGCATTTAGATGACAGACAGACAACATGCATGGTTCAACACCCAGGTCGAAGAGGAGGTGCAGAGCAGCGCTGAGGGCGGGAGCAATCAGGAGGGCCGACCAAGCAAGATGGGTCAAATCATGGGGTGGGCCTGCCAATCGCTGAAGCCGCAAATCCTTCAGGTAAGATGGGAAGGAAAATCCGTTTTGGCCCACTGGGCCCTTATGCATGTACACACCCACGTCCATTGGGCTCTGGCTTCTGTCGAAACGGCTTGGTGATCCAGCCTTGGCCCTTGGAACAGATAAAAAATCTCCTTAAAAAAAAAAAAGAAACGGTCATGTATTTTGTATATTAACTAGGTCCGTGCCGTGCGGGTTTCAAAATCCACACTATTCTAGGTATTTCCTACAATCCTATGTATTTTTTAGCTAACACATGTAAGAAATATCTTGTGTGCATCATGGTTTCGATTTGAGACATACATGGCTATGGCTAGCGAGAACTTTGGAATAGAGAATCTCTTTTTTTAGATAACCAATTAAAAAAGTTATTGGAGAATATTTTTCTATCAAAAGTTCTATTCCTAACCATTAGTGAGGATACAGAGAGTCTCTTGGAGTTGCTCTAACTATGGCAATGACTACTAATGTTTTTAAGCTGAAACTGAAACTATGGATTAAAAAGCATTGACGCGGTGCATATTGATTTTCATGTAATATCAAATCACACATATTACATGATTATTTTTTAAACAACATACGGCATTATTAAGATTACTACATTATTATTACTTTGGGCATATCTAAAACTAAAATTTATTATCTTTAAATTTAATGCAGGTCGTGTATGGCAATGATAATACCACAGATGGCCAGCTCAAACAGCAAATAAAATTGTTGTCCTGTTATTCTCTGAAGGCGCTCTGGTTCGCCATGTCCATGTTCTACGCGTCCCTGGCCCATCACTATTCTACATCAACAACATTCAGTCGTCGAAGACACACTGCTGCTGGTTGCTATCATCGTGGATGCAGCGCTCATCCTCCGCTCATTGTCAAAATGGGGCAACGCCTTGGTCTCACATCTCATGGCTCCTCCTAGAGCCGGGCGACCTGCCTTCGATTCTCTCGTTCAACAAACACTACGCCTTCGCCATCCTCGCCACATACTATCGGGCCATCGTGTGCCGCCTCTCCTCCGAAAAAGCTGCAAAGACGCGCCGATAGGGCACGTGTTGCCATTCTTCACACAGACATGATCGGAGACGATGAGGAGAGTCCACACCGGGCCATCTGCTGCCGGACTCCGCCGCAGGCATCGCCAGCTTTTGGCGGCCTCTTCACGGCAATCGTCGGACGCTTCATGGTAGGGCTTCTGTCAATGCGGTTGGTTTCTTCTTCTTCTGTGCGATAGCTCTCGGGCTCTCTATCTGCCCATGGTGGTGACGGTGGGGCTGTGACTCGATCCCACGCCAAGTGTCCGCCATTGTCGTCATGGTCCTCGTCGTGCTCACGTTTATCGCCGCCGCATCCCACTTGTTGGGCACTCGGGAAGCAAGCCACAAAGTCACGTAGTAGATCCTCCTTGGCATTCTGTTTTTCTTTTAGTTTACTTGTATGTATCTGAGTATGCTATCCGATGCATGCTCAAGTTTGTGCAATTTTTTTCTTTTAATTTATTGGTTCAAATAAACACAACGGCGTATCGTGAGAATACAAATAACATGGATTTTTTTTTTCTGAATTCTCCTTTTATTTCTGTCAGCCGAACTGTGAGTGCTGTAACCTAACCTTGAATAGTTATTGGACGTGATATACTATGGTTAAACCTCATGACAATCAGAGATCAATGGCAGGGATGGAAACTTAAGGAGCAGAACATCACGAATGCAGCTGTAATCGTACTATATATTAACATTGAAAGTACCCGTGTCGTATATTGCTATATGCTGTATCGTGCAAATGTTTCAAAAGAAAGTAGATGCACTTATGGAAAAATAAGGTGAAAATGAAACTTTAACGACAGAGCTGCGGACCTTATTTTAGGCATAAGCAGATAAGCTCTACTCCTATTGAGAACGGAACTTTGCCAAACTTTAATAATTTAATTAATACCAAATCTAGGAGGTCAATGAAACTATATATGCAACATGCACACTGGATGAGCCAGGTTACAGCACAATTTTAGGCCTGATTTACATATCGCGAGTGTACTTGATTTCAGTATCATTATTATGCCCTTCTCCAATAATAAACTTAGGGCTGTACTTATGAGGTTTCAAACATAAAATAAAACACAACGGTATACCATGTTCGCTTGATCATTTCTGTGGCTTATAAGCCGGCTGATACTGTTTTGTTGTGAGAGAGAAACACTGTATCATGGTTGATAAGCATAGCTGATACGATCAAGCGAATACCGCGTTGCAAGCACAAAAATTGATCAACTAACATGGACTAATTAGAATAGATAACGAGAGCTTCTACTAGTAAATAAGCACCAAAAAGCTAGGCACCATAAGATAGAGCATGATTTTAGAAGAAGAAAAAAATCCAAAACTTACTCATAATTTTCGAGGTAAAACAGACTTTATATGGATTTTCTAAGATTAAATCAAATTAAAGGATTTTTAATTGTATTATTTTTGCATGTAAAAATATTTTTATATAAAATTTTTAAAAAATGTTTTTATGAATTTTTGGATTCTATTCCAAATATTGGGATTTTCTATATTTCAGGTGCTTGAAATATAGACTTCACGTGTATATTATGCGAACATCACAAAATACATCATAAAACATTACATATATACTACACGAACATCACCGCACGTCGCCTGAACAGCAAACACAAATTCAGACGACTGTCGTATGTACGTGAACATCGCAAAATATATCATAGAATATCATATGTATACTATGTAAACATCGTAAAATTCATCATAAAACATCGCCTGAATAATAGACACAAAATTCAGGCGACTGAAGTATAGAAAATGTAGCAAATATCTGTAGTCTGATTTATCTCCTTAAACTTTTAACTTAGACCGGGTCAACAATGCAGTGATTCGGCTACGGAGAAACTCGAGTCGTCGATCCAAATCATTGCAACGGTACCGGACTACTAAGCCCAATAAGCCTCAAAGCCCAAAAACCAACGGGCCCACCTCCTTAATCCGCAAAGCTGAGCCTGCCCAAACACAATTCATCAGCATCTTCGATCTTC